TAACAGCTGAGATTAAAAACTGGGGATGAGCACAGTGTCTAGTTTCACCTGCTGTGTCCCTTAGGTACCTCGCTATTATAGGACACTCACCACCACTCCTACACACACGAGGGCTGCAAGCGGGAGAGGAGACCAACGATTTCCTCTCCGTGTAGACCTCTACTCCAGCAAAGGCGAAGCAGGTAGGGAGTCTTTTTCAGGGGCCTTACAGAGAAAGCCAGCCCCATGAAGGCCGAGGTGACTGGGCCCCTGGTGACAGGCCACACAGAGCCCTGCTACATGCGGATGCCTGGTTTTGTGTGATTTCCTTTTACCACCAACAGAGCTCACAGCCGAGCAATAAAAACACAGTGATGGACTCTGGCCTCATATCTGACATGCTCTCCAAGAACTTGGATGATATGTTCCCATCACATGAGATCTAAATGTACAGATGAGCACACAAGGAGCAACACCAGAAACCGAAACCACGTGCTGTCCCAAACCACAAGTTTGCAACTTGAAGAAAAGGCCTTCTGATTCACAGAGTGCATCGGCACGCACTCACACAACAGAGAGAACTGGCTTCTAAACTTTGTACGTCTGCCAAGTAATAAAATAACTTGGGACTATTCATGAAGCCTTTCCTCTTTTCCATTTTCTAAATCAGCTACCAATACAGGAGCCTCCCTCGAAAAGTCTTGATATTAAAACAAAATTTGTTTAAGAGCACAAATCAGTGCTGTTCCTTCTCCTGGTCTTTACCATCTGATGTGGAAACCTGAGCTCATGCTAACTGGTGCTGACATCCTCTCACACAGCAGAAGTCAGAACGTGAGCTGTGGGCCAGTATCAGTCCACAGACAGTACAGCCCGAGTAACACCACGCAGAAACTGAGTAAGCATTTGGAAAGCAATTAGAATGTCTGCTGAATCAAACAATAAAAAATTGGAGCCTTTAGTTTGCATGACTTCATGTTTTATTTTACTTTTCTAGCAATTCGTTTGAATTTTTCTTGTATTTTACAGAAGCAGAAGTAGTTCATGTTGAAATAAAAGATATGGTCTCACCACAGACAGTTGGGGGACACTGCTCTAAGAGACCTGAGCCCCGAGGACAGGCCCTGACCCAGATGCAGGCCACAGGCAGCCCTGAGGACACGACGTGAGGCTAGCCAAGTCTCGTAAAGAACAAACACCTTCAAAACAAGAACTTACTTGTGAATTCTAAAGTCAAGGAAAGTTATTAAACAGACATGGAATTTCTTTAGAAATAGTAGATATGAAATTTTTTTTTAGTTGAACCGATGTTCTGCCTAGATTTTTAGAAAAAGAACATGGACATTCCTCATGTTTTTCTTAAGGTTTTCTTTTAGCTAAAAAGAAGAATGTGGTATGAAGGAAAGAAATTTGATTTAGGGTCAGAAATCCCTGCTCTATACTAGATGTGACCTGTCATTTGTAACATGCAGCATACGTGCAAGCCCTGTGGTGGGCAGACTAACACCCGCCCCCAATGTCCACACCTGATCCCCAGAACCTGTGACTATGTCCGCGTACACAGCAAAGGAGAAGGAGGCTGCTCCTCAGCTGACTTTAAGACACGGAGAGTACCCTGGGTCATGTGCGTGAGCCCACAGAATCACAACGGTCCATCAGAGCAGAAGACCCAGGGGACGAGGTGTGGCGATGGAGGCAGGGTAAGTGACGTGCTGTTAGACCCCTGGCTTTGAACACAGAAGGGGCCACGCACCAAGGAATGCGGGTAGCCTTGAGAAGGCAGAAAGCAAGGAAATGCGCTCTCCCTCAGAGACTCCGGGAAGGAATTAGCCTTCCAACACCGTGATTTCAGCCCAGTAACCCTCGTGCCAGACTCTGACCTATGGAACCGTCCGGTACAGATGGGTGTTGTTTTGAGCCACTAAGCCTGTGGTAATTTATTAACAGCAACAATAGAAAACTAATATCATCTAGTACAGTATCAGGCACATGACAGGTACTCAATAAATGTCATGAACCTGGGCGTCCGAGGGAGCCCTGTGCACCTGGAACGTGCCAGGCTCATCCGCTGGGGCCAGATGCTGTGCTCTGGGTACCCAGAGCACAAGGCGGACACCGGGCCTTGGATGGCAACTGTCTTCCCAGTGTCCTAATACCTTCTCAAAATCTTTGTAACAGAGACGTCTTAACAGGGTGAAAAGAGGAGACTAGCAAAAACATACTGTCCAACATTTCTGAGTGGGAAAAGTCAAAGTCTTCTTCACTCTCAGTTCAACAGATGACTCTGACCAGTTCTTGGGACAGCCCTGTCTCCAACCCCCAAGACACAGGGGGCCTACTAGCTTCTCTCTGGAGTTAATGCAGCTGAGCCCCTGGCTCTGCTCCTGGCAAAACTGACCATCTCTTCTCCAGGAAAAAAGGAGTCGCACCAGAGAGAGGAAATGACACTCAGATCACTTGGGCCCACGGCCTCTTCCTGCCTGCCTGCTGCCGTCCAGAAGAACCTGAACCACGTCTTCTGCCTCAGTGAGCCGGCGACAACCTGCCAAAGGGCTGGACGGAGGTGGGCTGGTGACAATTCGTCCACCGAGAGTCCTCAGAACCAGAGCTCAAGGAGAGCCAGCCACTGCCCGCAGGTCCCCAGGCAGAGGGGCCGCCAAGGACTGGGCACAGCTGGCACCTGTCCCAGGGGCCTCCCCATCAGACATGCCACCAACACGTGCTCGTTGCCCTTCTAGTGTTTCTTGACTCCAAAGATGATTTTTCTCCCCTTTACAGTGTGACTGTGTGTGGCCCACATGAACTGCTGGTCTTTTCTTGTGAGGAAGAGTGCACCCCACGCACTTTATTCTAAGTGTCCCTGCCCAGCTGAAGGCCTCACCTTGTCACAGAAGACTTTGATCTGGCAGTACGCCCGATGCACAGGCTTGTTGCTACGGTTGTTGTAACTGTAGGTGTCAATCTGGATGTTCAGAGGCAAGCCCTTCACGCCCTTCTGGGACGAGAAATCCGTGCTCAAGCAGTTGACAGAGATGAAGACCTGCAAAGGGAAGGAGAGGCGCCGACAGTGACTTTCGCGCAGCTCACGAGCCTGCTTGCGTCCTGAGACCACTGCACGCATTTCCGCTGGGGCCCGGCTTCTTGTTAGAAAGAAACTTTTTTTAAAGAGGTAATAAAGAGTTTATTTTAAAGCTACTTTTGGTCACAGGAATGGCAGGAAAAACAGACAGCAGCTTTGAGCCCTGTCAGTGCTCCCTCCCAGAAGACTGACTCAGTCCCACACAGTGGATGAGGCTGGTGGATTTCTCCATGTCATTTTTAAATGTTCCAAGTGGCACGGGTTCTCTCTGCAGCTGTTTTACAGCTTATAAACTCTGGAACCCCGCCAGCAGTTACCACCTCCCGGGTAACCCGGGGTACCTATGTCTAATATTCTGGACTTTATGAAACCAGGGAGCCCTGTTACTAAAGTGGTATGAAGGCTGTTACTTAGATCCAGGTGGATCTTGCACAGAAAATGAACATGCCCCACTTCCCTGTTATATCTGTGATTCTGAATTTTAACCTCTCCACCTACAGTCACAAAGGTTTTGAGCTTCAATGCGTTTAGTCTAAGAATCTATTTCTGATGCATGAGCACCACATAGTGGGTGTTACTGGAATTACAGTCTTTAAAACAGAACACATTTCAAAGACCCAAGACCCTTGCTCCAGAACTTGCTCCAAGACTCCTTCCAGTCTGTGAGTGGACAGCCCTGTAGCCCTAACAACCAAGAACAGATCTACCACAGTCGTGTGGGGTGCCACTGGCTGAAGCAAGGCCTAGAGAGGGAGCAGACCCTGTAAGAAGGTGAGATAAGCGAGAAGGGGGTGGGAAGAGAGGGGAAGGAGGAAAAACCACAGCCACCAGGACAAAGAAGCTCTGCAGAGTATGCAGAATGCTGAGCCAGGGTTTTTACCCCTGCTCTAGTGTAGGCACTGTTTACAAGTAGGAAGAGACCAAAAACATCCTGAAAAGACAAAGAGAACTTGTCCAAATAAACAGATTTACAAGTCGTCTCACCCAGTCCCCTCACTGGCCCGCTCACTGTCCCTGGGACACCGTCCCTGCCTCATCACTGTGTCCTCATCCCTCCCCCTCTTCCCTCCTGTTCCCCCTCCTCCCCAGTCCGGTTGCCTCCCAGCTCCTTTCTGCTCTAAACCTGAAGGTCCAACTCAGGGCACCGCTCCACTGGGTGCCCCACTCACCCACAATGAGACAGGGAGCCGCTGGCAGTGAGCCCCTGTGTCTTGGGACCCACACTGCGCTCCTGCTGTATACACACAACCTCATTTCAAAGTCACCACAATGTGGAGTGTTAGCCTTTGTTTACAGGTGAGGCCTGGTTTTTTAAACTGTCCACAGGGTAGAAAGCAAAGAGCTGGGACTCTTACCTAGGACCTTCCCCTTTACACCCTGCCACCTCTCTCCCCCAAATCGCCTTTCTATCCTAGACTACTCGCCTGGCTTTTCTTCCCTGCCGGGAATGGTCTGCCATGTCCACATGAGTGTTTTATGTCTGACTGGACTGTAAATACTCAGTACGCTGTGTCCATTTTCTCTACATGGCACCTTTCTTAACACTCAGCACAGTTCCTGGTCTAGGATTGCCTTATCTTGCCTACGATTTTTCTTTCCTTTAACTCAATTTCAGTAAATAAGCAAATTGCTTTAATTTTGAAACACCTAAATCTAGATATGTAGTCCAAAATTGACATGTATGAATCTCAAATCTATTACAGAAACTCAATGCTTTGACTTTATATCTTTTCCTACATATTTTTAAGAAACATTTCACATACAATCCATAAATCCAAGTTAAAGAGGTAGTCTATATAATACATGAAAAAAAGACAAATAAAGGCAGACAGAAAAACAGAGGGAAAGACAGACAGAAAGACCCAAGCAAACACCCAAGCAATAAAGTAATCACAGCCGCACATTTTTAATTTTACAACTAAATGGAAAATCTAAACTTTTCTCTATCATCCTAGGCCACATGGCTCAACTCCTGACTCAAAAACAGCCGCCTGGGAAAGCTACACTTTACCCTCAACAATTCCAGTAAGTCTCTGACACAAAGTGATATTCCCTTTAAAAGAGGATTTTAAGGTAATCCAACCTAAAACCTAACCTCCCCTTGCCTCCCAGTGTCAAGTTTCTATTCAAAGCAGAAAGAAGCAGGAGCCAAATCCCGAGATCAGCGTAAACACGGAGCTGTCACAGCGACATGACCCTCAGCGTGACTCCAGATTACTTGCTATTGCTTTCCTATACACATTCTTCTGTTTTTTATTTCTGCTCTTTCCAAATTTGGCAGTTTTCTAAATGAATCAAAGAAAGTTTACAGCATTCCTAACTCAGCATTAAAACAGGCCACCTTGTCTAGATGCACATGCAAATATACCAAGAAACAGTGATCAAGATGTGCCACATCTAGTCCAGGACGTGAGGCACAAGGACAGGGGCTGAAGACCTGCAAGAGGAAATGGGGGCGGCACAAGAACCAGCAGGACGGTCATGAGGACAAGCTGGCACTGAGGGGGACACGCACGCCATGTTTAAGCATCAACCAGAGGCTTGCAAGGAGGTATGATGCCTTACGTATGTTCCAGCAAGAGGTAATGTGGTCAGCAGGAAAGGCTTTGGTCTGAAAACCAAAACATCTAAGTTTTGGTCCCCGCTCCACCACGAATTAGTGCTGTGATGGTGGGCAAGGGTCCCCATCTGTCAAATGCAAGGTCTTTTAGGCGACTCCTAACTGCAGGGTCCTATGATTATACTTACACTGAAAGATGATGAATCCTTCATCTCTACTCTGTATTGACTCGTGACAATAATTCTGGGTAACCAACTTTTCACAAAGCGTATTCTTTTCAGAGTACCACATTAGGCTGCCACGTAAAGTAACCACACCAATTTCATACTTGTATAAAATCAAGAATCTTATGAAGTGGTGGTTCTCAAAGTGTGACCAGAGCATCAGCACTGCCTGGGAACTCGAGTGCTTCACACCCCTGACCCAGCAGGAACCCCCAGCGACGACGGCACTTCCCAGGGACCACGAGGCCACACCTAGTTTCTGCTCCCATTGGCCTGGGGTGGGTTTCAGACACT